TTTTCCAATCATATTTCATTTATTCTCATCAACTTTAAAAGGAGATCATGTCATTACTCACTGTGATGGCAGGAATCTGGCCTTCATGGTCTAAATGATCTAGGAGTATACCTACAGGAAAAGGACAAAAATGGTCATGGTTTTATTTTCTTTGCTGGTATAGATACCTAGGTTAGGGGATGTGAGTTCTATGATCCTAAAAGAAAGTATAAGAGTAGTCTCAAGAAGACAAACCAAGCCAGCAAGAAGCTCATTGTAAATGTGATCAAGTTGCAGGAGAAGCCAAAAAGAGAGAATGAAAAGAAAGAATTTCAACTTCTGTAATCATTTACTAAATAAATAATTTGAAATATTTATTCAAAAATTATTTTTAAACGACAGTAATGGACAATGATTAGTACAAAGGTAACTTTAGGCTGGAAGAAAGTAATTTTCAGCAAAAAGAGGCAATAGAGCAAAGGAAAGGCTGACTTTGTTTCCTCCTCACAAAGTCACAGAATTTAACATTTTTTTTACCAGAGGTGAAAAAATAAATAGCTTTTACCTTACACAGTCTCATCAGACACAAAATAAATGATTGAATGCAATCTGGCTTACTAAGAATTCATTACAGGGCTTCCCTGGTGGCACAGTGGTTAAGAATCCTCCTGTCAGTGCAAGGGAGCTGGGTTCGAGCCCTGGGCCAGGAAGATCCCACATGCCGCGGAGCAACAAAGCCGATGCACCACAACTACTGAACCTGTGCTCTAGAGCCTGCGAGCCACAACTACTGAAGCCTGTATGCCTAGAGCCCGTGCTCTGCAACAAGAGAAGCCACCACAATGAGAAGCCTGTGTACCACAACGAAGAGTAGCCCCCGCTGGTCGCAACTAGAGAGAAAGCCCGCGCGCAGCAGCGAGGACCCAACACAGCCAAAAATAAATAAATAAATAAAAAATAGATTCCATTACGTAAGAGCCATTTAAGATTTATTCTTTAGCCTGACCACAAATGTCCTCCTATAGATTGAAGCTCTCTGAGAAATAACTGTGTTCCTCTTGTATGTACCCCACATGTCTTCAACACTGTTGATCATGTAACAGGATATCAAAAATATCCTGGTTGGTTAAATAGTTGACTGCTTTTTGAACAGCACTCATTGTGAACTTACATATCCTTATGAAATTTCACTAAGTTAAAGAGAAAACTCTAAATAGAATAAACAGAAAACAGGAGCAAGTCTTTGTGACCTTGGATTAGGCAATGTTTGGATTAGGCAATGTTCTTGAGAGCAAAAACAACTCATTGGGAAAAGGATGAGAATCATATTGGCTTTCAGATTTTCTACCCTTAGGCTGGACTACCATAGAACAATGCCTTCAAAATACTAACAGAAAATTGTTTGGAACATAGAATTCTATATCTAGCCAATTTACCAGTCTGCAAATCACATTGAAAGAATTCAACATTCACCTCCCTTTATGGAAAAAAAATCACTTGAGTATATGCTTTAAGAAAATGAAAATTGAAATAAAAAAGATGAAGATATAAAATCCAAAAATTAATGGCCACAACTCAGAATAGCAATAAAAAGAATCCCTAGGCTGTTCGTTGGGCAGCAGGTATAAAGGCAATTGGTCCAAAGTGAAACATATAGTTAGAAGACTTGCAGACAAATGTATTTGATAGGAAAATGAATTCACCTCAACAAATAAGTATTATTTTAAAAGTTATATGAACTTAGTGATAGAGTGAAGGTGATTGTTTCTTCTGTCAATAAGAAAAAAGTAAGGCAAACAGAAACTCTCTGAAAAATAAAAAGCTCTATAGCAAAATCACAGCCTATATAAAACAAATTAAATGTAACATGATTCTGAATAGTTTATGGAGTGTAATGAAGGATAAAACATTCTATCTTGGTTTTTGAAATATTATTTTTTGAATCTATACATATTTAGGAAAAGCCTAAGTACATTTCCTTCTCCACAAGTCTACCTACATTTCTTGATTCTGCAGAAAATAATATGTACACAATTTTAGTATTTCAAGCACCCTTTATTGGATTTTACTTTTTTGAATCAACTTATACACAAAGCATAGAAAACCTAACTGTAGTTTCAAAACAGAAGGAAATGTTATAAACCTTTATAATGTATAAGTTACGAGATGGAAAGGGAAGAGAGGATGTAAAAGTTTCAGGGTATACATATCCTCATTTTTTATAATGAAGACTTGAGAGATACTGCCTAAAGTTGAGTAGCCAAGAAAGTACTTTCTTTTTATAATTTAAAGTTATAAAGTAAGCCAGTAGAAGAAGTACTTATAATACAACTAACAAAATATTGAAAGGAGGGAGACAGAGGTGGTGTTAATGAGCCCAATTCCTATTCTTTGATATGTGGAAATCAATAAAAAACTTGTGTGTGGTAGATGTTATTGTTCCCAACTTTTTGCTCCTTCTATGTAGTAGATAATATATCCACTCTCTCTGTCATATGATTTTTGCCATACTTCCTGATAGGGCATAGATAGTTTCATGCCTATCCCCATCAACTCTGGGCTTGGCAATATGAATTATTTTGAACAATGAAATGTGGGTGGAAGTGACACTGGTTAGCTCTGAACAGAGGTTTTCAGAAGTATCATGTGTTTCAGTTACTTCTTTTTTTTTTTTTTTTGTGGTATGCGGGCCTCTCACTGTTGTGGCCTCTCCCGTTGCGGAGCTCAGGCTCTGGACATGCAGGCTCAGCAACCATGGCTCATGGGCCTAGCCACTCCGCGGCACGTGGGATCTTCCCGGAACGGGGCACGAACCCGTGTCCCCTGCATCAGCAGGCGGACTCTCAACCACTGCGCCACCAGGGAAGCCCTCAGTTACTTCTCTTCAGCTGTGGCCCTCTGCCGTGGGAAAAGCATATCCCAAATAATAATAGACGCTCCTTTAGCCCAAGACCCAAGATAAAAAGACGTATAGAGTCAAGCCAAACCAAGTCCAGCATGGTGGCAGCCAATGACTTGTGAGCTTGCAATAAGTGTTTGTTGTAAACAATGACTTGGGGATTGTTTGTATGGTCACAAAAATTGACACACACTGTCTAAAGTTGATAAACCAAGAATTGGAACTATACTATTTAGAATTAGGGGAGATATCCATCAGAGAGGTGGGGTGGCAACCACCAAAAAGAATTAGTTAAAGGTAGTTACCTTTGGGGATGCTATTTGGTGGAAAAAATTTAAGCCTTTGTTTCATATCTTCCTATCCTATTTGAATTTTTTATCATATGTATGTATTTTATATATGTATGTATTACTATTATACTTAAAATGTGCAAAGTACAGTGCATACCATCTAGGAGGTGATATAAGCCATAGACACATAAAACATTATAGCTATCATATCATGAGGCAGCTAATTTGTGTGGGGGAAAAAAAAATGCCCCAGATGATGAAATTATAAGAATTCAAAAAAAAAAGGAGAGAGAGAGAGATCAACCCAACTGAAGAGGTGATAGATGGTAAAGAAAATTGCACTGTGAAAGAATCCATAGGGATTAAGGTAGGTGGAGGAAAGTAGGCAAGGAAGAAATAAGCAGCATAATAAATCTGGAGAGAGGGAACACTGAAGTGGGTGTGGTATGACTGGAGCAGAGAATTCTTATGGGGGAGCTGTGGGCAAGAGGGCTGGGACTGATAAGAATGGGACAAGATTGTGAAGAGCTTGGATGGCTTGAGTAATGTGTGTGTGGACAGAATGACTTCATGAACTTGGTGTTTCAGGAAGGCCAGCATGGCAGGGCAGTGTAAGACAGACTGTATTCAGAATCCTCAGAGCTAGTAGAAACTGTCTCAAGGGTCACTTAGCCAGGTGGTGTGGCGTACGTGAGGGTATTGCTCTTAGTCACATAGCTTCTGTTACCACACCTTCCTTTGGGCCTAAAGCTATAAAAGCAGTGCCTCACTCCTTTGCTAGAAATGTGTAAATAATTATTCACATAGACTTGTGCCCTGGGGGACTGGGAAGCTATGACTAGGGGAAAGAAGGGGCCACAAAAAGGTATTTTATAAATCTCTCAAAACCACTCTTAGCTGGAAAAGACCTGCAGTCTTCTCCTCCACCCTGTGCTACTTACCAAGTTTTTTTCAGAGTCTTCCTAAATGCCATCTGATGATACCATGAATTCACATGTGAATAAAACTCAGGCTGGGACTTCCCCAGTGGTCCAGTGGTTAAGACTCTGCCTTCCAGTGCAGGGGGCATGGGTTCCATCCCTGGTCAGGGAACTAAGAACCCACATGCTGCAGGGTATGGCCAAACAAACAAAACAAACAAAACAAACAAAATCCCCCTCTGGTTGTCTTACTCCACTTACTCAGTTTGAACTGAGAACCCAACATCTCTTCCATTTCTCTTCATTTCAGGTTCATTCCATTTGATTTCCTTTGAAGTGACGACTGCCCACCCAAATCTACTGCCCACTAAGACTTGCTTCCATTGCCCTTGATGATTTTTGTACCTGACTTAGGTTTTAGCTGCTATTCTGACTCCTGCTCTCCTTAACCTTAAAAAAAATTCATACTGGTGTCTGGTCTGACTGTATTATTTTCAGTTTCTTAGGTTCATTTCTGTCACTGCCTTCTTTACCTTCATTGGCCATGTGCCCAAATGGCATACGCTGAGCCTTCTCCACCTGCAGAATCTCAGGCTTGTTCTTCTCACCAGCTGTCTCAAGTCTTCCACTCCTCCATGCTTGCTGACCTCGGACTGCATTGAGTCTCTGATCTAGCAGTTCCCAGGATTTCACCTATTTTTTTCCTGTATGATATTATAGCCCATATAAGTCTCCAGAGTATATGTGTGGAATTCCCAATAAACCAGCAATAAATCTTCCCTTTACTCTCTGACTCATAAAAGCCTATTGGAATGCAAAAAACTGGGAGTGACTTTTTTTATAGGAATAATCTGCAATCTGCTCTAATTTATGTTTTAAAACTTTATTCTCAACTTCTTGTTCCTGCCCAAGATGGAATAGTGTGGATGGAGTACATTTCCCACTAAGAACAGTTAAAAGCCCTGGACATTGTATATGAAACAAACAAGAGAAAACTGTGAAAGGCAGAGAGAAGAAGACAACTGACTAAGGACCTTGGGATCTGAGGAATGACAGGACAATGAGTTCTCCGTGTTGTTTTTTTGTTTGTGTGTTTGGTTTGTTTGTTTGTCTTGCCTCATATATCTTAGGCTAGAGAAGCTGGCAAACTAGAAACACCACAGGAACAAATTTTTTAAAAACCCCAAGAAATGCCTGCTCTCACTAGCTAAAGGACTGGGAAAGGGGCAACGTAGACAACTTTTAGACCAGTAACTACCCTATTCTAGCCAAACCCTGCAGAAAAAAAATGTGACCTCACCCCTGTCCCAGTCAGCAAAGGCTGAAAAGAGGGACTCCCACCTTCACCCTTTTGTTAGAAGGCATCACTCATGACCCCTCTAACCCCTGCTGGGGTGATGTCAGAGAAGGCCAAGTGGGGAGCCAGCACTTTCATCCTGGCCTAGTTGACAGGTGACTAGCAAAAACAAAACAAACAAAACAACCCAACCATGTGGAAGTGTATTATGCCAGGTTAAAAAAAAAAAAAAAAGCCAGTCTCAAAAGGTCATATACTGTATGCTTCCATTATATAACATCCTTGAATAACAAAACTATAGAGATGGAAAACAGATAGTGGTTGCCAGGGGTTAGAGATAGTGGGGATGGGGGAGGGGTAGGTGTGACTATGAAGGAAGTTCATGAGGGAGATCTTTGTGGTAAGGGAATAGTTCTGTATCTTGATGCTGGTGATAGTTATGGGAAACTGCACATGTGATAAAGTGGCACAGAACTATACACACATATTGTACCAATACCAATTTCCTGGTTTTGACATTGTACTATAGTTACAAGTTTATAGCTTTTTTATAAGTTACAGTTATAAGATGTAACCATTGGGGGGAAATGCGTGAAGGGTACAAAGGACTTTTCTGTACAGTTTTTACAACTTCCTATGAATTTATAATTATTTCAAAATAAAAAGTTAAAAAAGTTATCCTTCAATTTTGATACTTGTGATAGTCATTAATGTTATAATCCAAATTTTTGCAGCTCTCTGCCTTCTGGGGACAATGCTGGGATTTATTGCATTTCCCTGCTTCTTTGAAAGTTAGATATGGCAGGTCGTTTGATTTGGCCAATGAAATGCATGCATAAAAGTGACACTTGGTGAGGAAGTGTTACGAGACCATGTACAATATGCCACATGTCCTTCTGTCTCTGCCAAGGAGGAACCATGTGCTGCTCTGGATTCTTCTCCAGCCTGGGATGGACCGCCCCACCCCCCACCCCCACCCCCGTCCCCCTTCCTCAAATGACATGGCTTGTGGGCCAGAAGCTAATGTGTAGTTTTAAGCTCCCAGGATTTGGGGCTTTTGGCTATAGACATCCAGTGCAGTAATACAACAATTAGTCACCATTACCTGCCCATGCCCCTTACAAATGCCTAAAATGTACTGCTCTTATCACCAGATCCAAAGCAAGGCACCCTCCTGACTGCTTATGATCCACATTTACCACACCCAGGACCGCCCTCACCATGCTGACATATGCCTACTGCCTGACCTAACCCATGATCACCACCCATCTGGCTATTTTCACTTGGTTTAATGTTTTTGAGGTTCCTTTATGTTGTATCTTCCACATATCTTCTATGTATCTTTCATTCTGTTTTATTGCTGAATAGCATTCACTGTATGGACATACCACATTTTGTTTATCCATTCACCAGTTGCTGGACATCTGGATTGTTTCTACTTTTCAAGTATTATGAATAATTCTCCTATGAATATTTATATACAACTTGCTATATGAACATGTTTTCAGTTTTGGGGGGTATATACCTAGGAGTGGAATCATTGGGTCATATGGTACTCTTACGTATAACTTTTTAAGTACCTTTTTAACAAACTTCCAAAGTGGCTGTACCATTTCACATATCCATCAGAAATGTAGGTTAGGGTTCTAATCTCTCTAATCTCCTCAGCAACACTTGCTATCATCAGTCGTTTTTATTACAGCCATTGTAGTGGGTGCAAAGAGCTTTCTCATTGTGGTTCTGATTTTCATTTCCCTAGTCGCTAATGATGTTGAACATCTTTTCATGCTACTGTTGACCATGTAAATATTTTCTTTGGTAAAATGCCTATTTCATTCTTTTATCCATTTAAAATTCAATTATTAGTCTTATTAAGTTATGAGTTCTTTATATATTCTGAATACAAGTCCTTTATCAGATATACGATTTGCAAACCTTTTTTTCCCCAAGAAACAAAAAAATCTTTTTTTTTCCTAAACACGGTTATTTTTTAAAAAGATAAAAACTTCAAAGTGAAGTTCCCTTGTGGTACATTAACAGGCCAATCATGATTCACTTTGTTTCAAAATATTATGTAAGTACTTTTAAAAAGCAACTTTTAACTTTTATTTTAGAATACTTGGAAAATGTAGATAAGCACAAAATAGGATAGTAAAATTCCACAGATAATCTTCAGTAACATTATTTGCTTCCAGCCTTTTGGTTTTTTCTGCGAACATACCTTTATTTAAAATATAAAAATGGGACCATTTAAATATTATAAACATTAGTTTCATCGCTGGCAAGCAAGACACAAAAACCTCTGAATGATTCAAGTAGAAAATTTATTAAAATAACAGTTGGTCATGCCTAGTGAGTGACAGAGGACGAGGCTGCGTCTCCTCTTCAGGTTAAGGTACGGCTAGGTACTGGAATTAGTGCCAAGGAAGAGTGTTTCCCAAGGGGGCACAGTGGAAGGGCCCCTCTCAGAATTACAAGGGAGACACTGCCCTAAACAGCCCCCATCCTGCGGGGGCCGGGGTTGTTTTTGTCCCCCAAGGCCTGGCTGCCTCTTCCGGCTTTGCCGGTCGGTGGCCTCCCCTCTCGCCGCCCACCCTGGGTCCTGGACCTCCTGCATCCCTGTCGCCGGACGCAGCGCTCAGCCCGGCCAGACCAAGGGGCCGCTGACCGTCCTCCAGTTCCGAGTCTTCGTCGGCCGCTCGCGGGTCTGGAACAACCTGGCCTCGGCCCCGGGATCGATCCGAAGATCTCGTCGGCGCGGTGAGGGCACCGTCCTTTCCTCCCACCCCGCGACCTGCTCGACGTGAAACGGCCCAAGCTGTACTTCACTTGCGGCGGCAGCCCCTTTGTCCGTGCACAGGTTCAGGTGGAGACCACCCGGGCCGGACCTCACGGCCGAGCCCGTCGCAGACCCAGGCTCCCGCCCGGGACAGGACCGGCAGCGCCGCCCGGAGGCCCTTGCTCCGGCGCCCGGGTTCCGCGCCTCCCCGCGGGTGGGACAGGCAGAGGTAGAGGCGCCGAGAAGCCGGAACCTTCACAGCCCCGAGGGAAGCGCCGCGGCCCCGAGGTGGGCTCGCCGCAGGGGCGGGGGCGCCGCATCCGGGTGAGCGCGCGGCGCCCCCGCCTCCCCCGCGCAGCCGCACGGGCCGCCGCCGCCGCCAGCACGCCGCGAGCTGGGAGGACCGCGCCCAAGCGGCCTGCGTGGGCGGCCCTGCAGCCCCGGACCGCCGCGCTGAGGCGGTCCCAAGCGAGCAGCAGCTGCGGCGGCAGCAGCATGCGGGGTGGCCCGGAGTAGCGCGCCGAGCCCGCGAGGCCCCGCGCGGAGGAGGGGGCAGGCGCGGCGGAGGCGGGGCCCGCGTCGGGCCCGCCCGCCCGCCGGGGGAGCCGCCGGCAGTGGTCGAGGAGGCGGCGCGGCGGACGGCGGCCCGAGAGTAGCGCCCGCGCTGCGGCCCGCGGGACCGCGCCGCGACTGCCCGGGCCGGCCCCGAGGAGCGCCCGCCGCCGCCGCCGCCGCCGCGTGCGGACCGAGGTGAGTGTCCGCCCGCGCCCGGGCCGTCCCGGAGCCGCGGCCGCTGACGCGGAGCCGGGGGAGGAGGAGGCGGAGGAGGCCCGGCCGCGTCCGCGTCTCCTGTCCCTTTGTGGCCGGCGCGGCCGGGGCGCGGGCTCGCTGGGCGCGGGGTCCGGGTCGGGGACTCGGAGGCTGCTGGACACGCGGCGTCTCTGGTTGGCCGCTGCGGCGAGAAGCGAGTTTCCGTCCTAGTTTGACATTGAGTTAGAACCGTTTTTCTTTAGAAGACGGAAGTTTGTTTTATTGACCAAAATACAGCTAAATATGGCTCCTGGGTTCGGTCCGGCGGTGTGGTACTTGGAGCCGCGGTGCCAGGCTGACCCCCGCCCGGCCGGCGCGACGCGGGAGGGGAGGACACGCGGGCGGCCCGGGTTGGGGGCTTCCGGCCCACTACCCGCGAAGAGGACCCGGCCGTGAATTAGCAGACGTCTGTGGTTGGGAAGTAGCGGGCGTTAGGTAATGTAGTACAGCTTCCTGGAAGAATGAATGAATGAAATGTCATTTACTCACCCATAATCAGTGCAATGCCCATTTAAAGATTTGCCAGGAATTGTGATGATTTGCAGTGTCATTGCCTCTCTTACCTGGTCAACCTTGCTAAGTGAAGGCCCCCTCCTCCGAACTTGTGACCTTGGCCTCATTCACAGAGCCGCTAAGCTAACCAGACGGGCTTGGCATTTTCTGGCAAGTGTGGGCAATGGTCAGAGTAGTCTTTGTCATTGTGAACTGTTTCTGGAGGGCAGAGATCATACCTTGTGTTTAATATCAACACACTGATCTATAATAATTCTTGTCAAGAACTCTGAGAGGGTGGGGTGGGATGGGTGGGTATTTTGTCCTCATTTCACAAATGAAGTTGAGGCCCTAAGAAGTTGTAACTTTACAGGGCGCAAGCTAAGCAGCAGAGTTGGGATTCACACCTAGGTCTTATTAATCCAGTGCTTTTTACATTACATTTGTGTCTGGACTTGGGTTGTCCATTGTGGTAGCCACTAACCACATGTGGCTATTTAAATTAATTAAAATTAAAGTTTTGAAAATTCACTAGCCACATTACAAGTGTTCAGTAGCCAAATGTGACCGGTGGTTACTATTGAACAGCACTTGTCTAGACCATATATCCATTGGCTTATTCAGTAAATATTTGTTGAGTGCCATATGTCTATGAGGCATAGTTTTAAGTCCTGGGTATAGCATGGTGAATAGGAGAGGCAAAATGTCTCTTGGCTTCATGGAGCTTGCATTCTACGTGATAGTTTAAGGGATGTTTCCTTGGTACCTTCAGTGCTTTGCTAATGCAAAGTGTGGTTCGTGAACCAGCAGCAGCAGCATCTCTGTCACCTGGGAGTTTGGAAGAAATGCAGAATCTCAGGTCCCAAGCCACATCAACTGAATGAGTATCTGTTAAAGTGATTCAACAGGTCACAGGTGATAGATCTCAGATCTCAAGTGATTTGTTTTCATACTGAAGGCCTTATTCAGAACACCAGTGATAACTGGGTTTAACAAATGTCCTGATGGATTGTTTGGTAGGGCTCTTAAGCCAACTTTGAATGCCTTGGGAACACTCATCATTTACACAAATACTTGTTAAATGCCTGGCTTCTGTAGTAGAGTGTCAGCTTTATGAGAGCAGAGATTGTGTCTTCCTTTTCCAGCCATGTATCTTCAAAGACTGCACAGTGCCTGGTAAGCAGTAGGCACTCAATAAATGCTTCTTGAGTATATTAATGAGCCTGTTCAGAAGTCAAAAGTAGTTAATCCCAAGCAATTCAGGCAAGGTAATATTCAGGGCAGCGGGTAAGAGCATAGGACCAGAATCAAAATGAAGGTGGTAGGTCTGTGTGTAGCTTTTCAGCTCTAAGCCCCAGCTACCCTGGCCTGAGTTTCATTTCCTGGTTCCCTTGCATGCCCTATCTCTTTCTCTTTTTAATAATATAAAATAATATTTATACATTTGAATCTTAATCATATCTTAGTGCCACATACATATGTATATGTGTATGTATATTATTTTTAAAAAACGAAATTCCAGACTTTATTAGGATTTCACCAATTTTCCCATTAATATCCTCTTTCTGTTCCAGAATCCTGTCCAGGGTACCACATTGCACC